GTGCGGCCGTCTTTGTCCGGAGTGAATACTCCAACGCGCTCGTCGGTGACGGCTTCCCTCAACCTGCGCCGCGCTCGGCGAACCTTGACAGCGCTTTCGGTGGCATGCATTTCTTTGCGACAGAAGCCTGGAGAGCAGCTCCTCTGCTGCTCACACACTCTGCACAGATGGCACAGCTTACTGTGCGGCTGCCACAGCTGTGGCAGCGATGGGCTCGCCCTCACTGGCCCTCAGTCACTTGTGCTGCGGCTTGTGTGAGCGACACTGCTCGGCGACTGCCGGCACACTGTGAGACCGTGGGTGTGAGGTAAAACCACGCTACCAGCGCTTGGTCACATCGGCCCCGAGGTCAGATCCATCTACTCTGTTGATGACAAGACTTGTCTGCTGGCTGGAGCCGAGCAGGAGGGCCCGGCGCACAACCCCTGGTCAACTCAGGGTCCACTCCCTTTAGGCACATTGTGGGGTTGGCACTCCCATCGACCCTCATGACCTCCTGCGGTCTCTGAGATGGACACCAGTGGGTGTGGGACCACAGCCAGGATACACTCGAAGGCTGGGTAAGCAGTAGAGGTCGATACTCGACGCGTCCCACATGGTCTGTGTCGCTGTCGGCACGCTGTCGACAGGACGTCGAGCGACACCGGTGGCAGTGCCACCCAGGAGTGGTCGGTCGGTCTCCCGTCATGAGAGAGCCACCATGTGATCCGTATGATGATTCCTGACAACCACCTCAGTCAACTTTCGTCACAGTTCCCGCTCTGAGAGGAGCTGCGGGTCAGCTCGACAGCTGGAGCTGTGTCGCCGGCGTGCGGCGGCCTGCCTCCGGAGGTGCCTCTGAGGTGGACATTTTTTGGTCACCGCGAGAGAACGCGTTCGTATTTTCACTCCGGAACTTCAACTCCGCACGCGCACCGGCCAGGGCTACAATAGTGCCAGCAGGAGTGCCAGTGAGGCGAAGGCGCGAGTCGGAAGGCCGCGACCGTGAGTTGGTCCCCCAATTTTCCTACAATCGTACAATCGCTGTCGACCCAGCCACGTATGTATCCATGCGGGGGGGAGATGGGGTCCCATGGCCCGCCGCAGGGGCGCCGATTTTCGGGACTTTTTTTTCTTTTTTCTCCATTTTTTACTTGTTTCATGGGAATTCGCTGCACTTGCGGCCATGCTATCACGCCTTGCGACAGCCTGTCGGCGCTGCTGACCGTGCCATGCTGCACAATTGACCACCTGCATAGCTCGCGGCCTTAGTATCAAGCATTCAGTGACGACCTGATCCTACGGTCAGTAGGAAGGTGTCCTTCTATCGTGTGCACGCTTCATCTGACGCAATGCGCGTCACAAACTGCCTCGGCGACTGGCTGCTGGAACTCTCGAGGCTATGCCTACACAGCCTCGCGCGCATGGGCAGTCAAGAGGGACCATGCACTTTCTCAGGACAGCGCCAGTGCCTCTCTCTTGGACCGGCAAACGTGGTGGTCTCGTGTCACCAATGTGGGACCAGTGCGGCATCGCGCCATCGACAGCTCTGAACTGCGCCTCACCACTGACCGGGAAGGCCGCCAAGTGGGCCAGCACAGGTCGCAAATTGTGGCAGCAGTCAGCAGTTGTCTGATAGCTAGAGCAGCAGCGTCAGGGTCGCAGGGTCGGATCGTGTCAAGCCTCTCGCCCGGCCGGCCACGTGCAGACGTCGGCCTGTCTGCTGTCTGGAGTGATCTGTCGGCGGTCAGTACGACCGATCAGGTCGGAGTTTTCTTATGGTTGAAGGGTCTATCTGTATGTACTCCTCGAGATCTCTCCAAATCTGCCCTCTACTCAACCATACTCATTCGGGAAGTCGGTGGTATGAGCGAGTATGAGCGCCGGGCCCCGTTTCCGCACTGCGGCGCGGCGCACGGCGCCTCCGGGGGCCCCCGCCCCCCCCCAGAGCGGAAAAAGTAAAAGAAATTTTATTTAATTTTTGGCCGCGCGCAGCGCGCTAATCGGGCGCCAGAGAGAACGTTGAATGGCATTCAAGCGCGACAATGCTAGTCGCCTCCCCCTTGACATCAAGGACAAGGTAAGTAAGGTAAGGGGCGCGGAAGGTTATATAGCTCTAGGAACTTTCCTATAGGTCTAAACTTCTCCACTTCACAGGGCTCATCCCGCCGTTCTAAATGCCATGTCACGGCCGGTCGTCGGCTGCTGCTCTCGCCTCGCTGGCGGCGCGGTCTAGTGCCGCGGCTCCCAGCTCTCCGGTGGGCTCGCGGCGGCTCGCCGCCGTGGATCTGAACAATATGATCGGTCCGGGTTCGTCCCGGCGTGCCGCCAGTGCCGCTTCATCGCCGAAATTTCCTCAGCATGTTTGTCGACAAAGTTGCCCCCGAGCTCCTGCTGCTCGACTGCGCAGCAGCACCGGCCCCTCGCGGCTGAGACGTGATGCGCCGGCACCGGGGCTACGGCGCGGGACCATTTCCAGGCTCTCTCGAGCAACCTCAAAATTGGCCGATTTTGTGATCTCAACCCTGCTGCTCTCTAACCTCAACCTCGCGGCCCGCTGCGCGGCTCTCCGAGCGCGAGAGGAGTCGTCTACGAGGCGGCGGCGAGCGCAGGCGGCGGCGGCGCGGCGGCGCGGCGGCGGATCGCGGCGCAGACAACGGCAGCAATCTGCGGCACACATGCACACACGCCTCCCTTACACTATACCACTCACACCGCCGCCGCACTCTCGGGGGCGGGCAGCGGCGGCGGTGGAGAAGCTACGGCGGGTGACGACGCGGAGACGGCGCTGAGGGAGCGGCGACCGCGGCGCGACGGGAGGCGGTGCAGCTGCGGCGGCTGCCGCCGCCTCGGCTCGACAGCAGCTGCATGGCTAAGCCTCCCCTCCCCTCCCCTCCTCCCCGCCCGCCCGCCCGCCGCCCCCCCGCCCCCTCCCCTCGCCCGCGCACTGGCCACCGCCCTTCGCTCGTCTAGCGTATAGGTACTCTCGGGGGTGGAGGGGAAGACGTAGGGCGTGCTTGCGCGCCTTCCAACGGAGGCCCCTCCACCTTCACTACTCGCTGCCTACTCGCTGCCTCGAGGGAGGAGGGGAAGACGTAGGGTTGAGCTGGACTCGCCTTTCCTGAGGCCCCTCCCCGAAAGGCAAGTATTAGCCACATGAAACCGAAACCCCTCCCCCCCACCCCAATCCCCCCACCCCCTTTGCTCCCCTCCCCCCCTCGGGAGGGCCGAAGAGAGGCGCCCGTGGGGACCCCGCAATTCCCTTCCCCCCACGGAGGGGGCCGGACGAGGCGTACCCCGAGGGCCCCACTCTTTCCTTCGCATAGCGGCCACTCTTCGGATCGCTGGTCGACCCGGGGGATGCCCCGCGCGCCTGACCCAGGCGCGAGAAACGAATCTGCGAGGCGTGGCCGCGCATGCGGCCCGATGGGGAGGAGGGGAAGACGTAGGGCGTGCTTGCGCGCCTTCCAACTGAGGCCCCTCCAACCCACCCGCGCTAGGTCTCGGGGGACGCAGGGGTCAGCCCCGCGCGACCTCGGGAACTAGCCGGGGCAGTCGGAGAAGGGGCAACTCCGGGCACTGACGGTCGGCCGTCAGAAACCACGCCTGCGTGGATCGCGTCACACCAATCCTCGCTACCCAACGCGGCCAAAGGATATCCACCTCGAGAACCTCGAGAACACGTCGAGATACACTGGTGGGGGACATCAAGCGACGACACGGACTGGGCGACCAGCTTCGCGGGCTCGCTGTGAGCTTCATTGGCACCGCCGATGGCATCGCCGACCCTCGCAGCGCCTCACCACGGACGCTCGGACGGCGCATATGACGGGGTGCGCATAGAGTGACGCCCGCGAGCGTCGTCCTACCCTCGCCGCGCCACCGTCACCTCCACCCTCCCCACGGACGCCCTTTGGCCGCCCTCGCGCCGCCGCGGCTCGAACCCGCTGCCTGCCATTCCTCGCCCTCACACTCCTCGCTGCCTCCCGCTCGCCGCCGCCGCCACCACCTTCCTCCGGCATGCCGCCGCTCTCACCCTCGCCTCCAGCCGCCCCGCCCCGTCACCCCGCCACCCCCCCCCCCCCCCGCCGCCACCCCGCCGTCTCCACTCTCGCCGCCGCTGCCGCCGCCGCCTCCCCAGCCGCCGCCACCGTTGCCGCCACCCTCGTTTCCACCGCCTTCGTCGCGCTCTACGCCACCGCAAAGATCGCCGCCCCTGCACCACGGCCGCCGCTCCCTCCGGCACCTCACACAACCCTTCCAACTCTCGCTCCTGCCTATACCGCCGCCTCTCTACCCCAGACGTGCGCCCGTACTGCCGCCGTAGGTACCCGTGTCACTGGGGCCGCAAAGTCAGCCGTATCCTCGGCCGAGTCGCCCGCCGCAGCCCGCCAGAGGCTCGCGGCAGGCTGCAGAACGGTCGCTTGTGGCGGCCGTGCCGCCAGCCTCGCTCATCAGGCTGATGGCAGGGGGATTTGGAGGTGACGCGGGTATGTCTAGGTCGCCGTAGCTGGCCACTGGGCGGCATGGGCGGCCGCGAGAGCGCGGCGCGAGCGTGTAGCGCTCGCCATGCTGGAGACCGAGATCCGGCGCCGGGAGGTCTACGTAGCGCCGCACAGTAGCGGCCGGTAGTGGGCCGTGAGTGGCCAGGTGCTGCCCCCCCAGTATACGCCCCCCGCATGCTGGGTGGGTAGACAGCGGTAGCTCTGCAGGGCAAGGCTCTCTGTAGGCCCTTGCCGGGTGGTTATATGCTTATGGCTCCCGCGGGCGCTGACCGCTGTCGAGAAAAAATCGAGATTTTGCGAGATCGCAGTCCGGTTGGCCGTTATTTTTGTGAGTCGTGGCGCTGCCCGTGTGTTGGAAGCATGTAAGAGGATGCGTGGAGAGCAAAAAAGCGTGCACACGGGCTATTCTGGCCGACCCCAAATCTCCCCTCCCGACCCCTAACCATAATCCATATCCCCCCCTGGACCCGCAGCAATCACGACACTTTTCACCGTCGGTCTTCGGCTCTTCGCGTCTCACCCTGACGCGAGCGTCTCGAAACCTCCGCTAAGAAGCGGGACACGGTGGCGGCGGGCACGGGCCAGGCCGCAACGCAACACGGGAGGGGGCGACACATGAGGGGCGACGGCAGCGGAGCGTGTGTTCAAGGCACATCAAGTTGGAGAGGCTGTCGATCTGCGCATCCTCGCTCCACTAGGAGCGAACGAAAGCGTGGGTGGCAATCATGTCGTCACCTGACGAATGCGGTTGTTAAAATTGTCCCCCACGTAGACGGTCATGCCGTCGGGCGACACCGCCACGCCCCACGGGAGATTGAAGCTCGCGGCGGTGCCCGTGCCGTCGGCGAAGGTGCCCGTCCCCGAGCCTGCGAGCGTGGTGGTGGCGCCGTCGGAGGTGTCGATCTTGCGGATGAGGTGGTTGTTGGAATCCGCCACGTAGAGCGTCCCGCCGTCGGACGACACCGCCACGCCGAACGGGCTACGGAAGCTCGCGGCGGTGCCCGTGCCGTCGGCGGAGCCGTCCGTCCCCGAGCCTGCGAGCGTGGTGGTGAGGCCGTCGGAGGTGTCGATCTTGCGGATGCGTTGGTTGTTGGTTTCCCCCAATAAGATCTTCCCGCTCTCTTGGGTT